AGTGACAGCCAGTTCCATGCTTCAACGCCATCTTCAGGCCTGAAGATGTTAAAGTATGAAACAGACTGTCGGCACTTGGAGTTGACCTCAGTTTCCACATACGCACATACACACACACATACACTGATATATATATATTTATATATATATATATATATATATATATATATATATATATATATATATATATATATATATGTTTGTGTGTGTGTGTGTGTGTGTGTATTTCTATAGTGTTATAATATGGATGAATGTAGTCAGAGTATAGCCAGATAGAGTATTGAACTGAGATCATATATATATATATATATATATATATATATATATATATATATATATATATATGGATGGATGCACATATGTATGTAAATATGTATTTGTATATTGTTATAATATGGATGAATGTAGTCAGAGTATAGTCAGATAGAGTATTAAACTGGAGATCATAACATGTGAGCTGCCGTCGCTCACCTGGGGTGTCAAATAGGTAACTCGGGATGTTCCCATTTTTACTTCTGGCCTGATCTCTCAGCAATAAAAAAAAAAGAAATATGCTATGCATAATGGCGGTTGATTTGGCAGTGGGATACCCCGGCGAAAGCTGGGTAAATATGCCACGAAATGATTTTATAGCTCAAAAGTTGATTATATGTACATTGTACACATTGTTATTGGTAAATGCAATCAGCGCACACGTTAGTAATTCTTTTCGGACTAGTATGCATTTTGTAAATGCATATGCCTAAATGTTTTATTGAAAAAGATGTGAAATTTATAAGAGATCATGGAACAAAATATATAAAGAGCAGAAAAAAAAAAACACCTTTGAGGGACTAATATAATAGACTGGTCCACTCGCAAAAAAAATATAGTTTTTTTTTTTTTTTTTTTTTGGTTTTTCACAGAAAAAAAATGTGTATATTAGCATTGATTAAACATTTCTCAAGCCACGACATTTGTCTGAGTCGGAAAATATTCTTTTTAACGATTTAGAAGAGCGACCTTATTTATAATACAGACAAAGTGTAAACTACATCCCTGATTTTTGCATAGTTATTTGTTATTTCTTGAAATTTTGGAAGGACCCGTCGCCTCTCATTGAATTCGGAACGTCACAAACAATATTAATGTTGGTTTTAAAAGTCGAATTCAAGCGAAACATGATTAACCAATGAAAATCAAACAACAAAAAAGTAAAAAATACCAGAATTTCTTCCTTCTTTTTCTTCATATCTCATTCTCTGATGAATCTTTAATAAAAGTGAAACATGTTAGATTGATAAACGTTTCCTATTTGTTCCTTATCTTAGCAAAGCATAAAAAAGTTCCCAAATCAGCATGAGAAAAAAAACCAACCTAATCTCTACTACTACTACTATTACTACTACTACTACATACACACGTACACGTACACGCACACGCACACACACACTTACGTATATGCATTATCATTTAAATACCACAGAATTTTTACGACTACAGCCATCCTTTTATAGAATTTAAAACTGTTAAGCATTTTTTTGTTTGGTCTAGGCAATTTGGGCTTCGAGCACTTCAATTTACTTTATATATAAGTTTAGGCCTTTCTCGTTTCTGTTTTCAGTATTGTCGTTTTTGTTCGAGACTTTATCTGGATAAGTGTTTTAGGTGTTGGCAAGTTGTCTCTTGGTTCCATCAACGGTCTAAATATATGTGTGTGTGTATATATATATATATATATATATATATATATATATATGTGTGTGTGTGTGTGCACATATATCTATATATGTGTGTGTGCGCGTGAATATATATATATATATATATATATATATATATATATATATATAAACATGTTAGATAAGCGTTTCCTGTTTGTCGTTTTGCTTATAATTCTGTCGGATTCCGATCAATATTTGATCAATATTTGATCACAACTGATTATAGCTATCTGTATTTGGGGATTTCTTGGCAGCTGTTGTAGAAACATTGAAGGATGATAATTATTTGTCATAAACGAAAAACAAACAAACAGATACTTTGATTATTTTATGTAAATTTTTGTTTTTAATTAAAGCTACATATGTTCGTTTGTTCCTTAATTGAAAGGAATCTTTTTGTAAGAAAAAAAACAAAAAAAAGAATTAAAATTAGAATCCAAAAACTTCTAATAATGGTTAATTTGCAGTATAAGCACCAAAAGCCTACGCGAATGAAAATGTTCCTGTATGGTGTGAAATTGCCTTATTACTTCGAAAATGACAATAAAAGTTTGCGCTCGATTACCGATTAGAATTTATCGGCAATATAATTTCGATCTCTTTCACATTGTCCGACCGCCATTACTGGCATTGTTTACATAGATTTGCCTCGGGAAATAATGCGCGGAAGCTTACTCAGCCTTTTTACTGTTTTTCGTATCTTCATACTTGTTTGATTACTGCGCAATTTTCGTGGAAGTTATTTTAAAATGCGCGTTCTCTTTTTTAACTTCATTTTTTTTTTGCACTTCAGGCACGTTTTTTTTTAAATTTTATTTTTCGTTTTTTTTTTTAAATTTTACTGCGATATTTGGAATCGTGCACTCATTTTAAACTTCGCGCATTGCGCAGTAATAAAGACAAGTGAAGCTTCCGCGCCGCATCATTACATGAGGCAAACGTATATAAACAAAGCCTGTAAAGGCAGCCGTTCTGTCGACGCGACGCGAAAGAAGTCGAACTTACATTGTTCATAACTCCTAAACGGTAATAAAGCGTAAATTTTTAATGTAATTTTCGAAATAATCAGGCAATTCCACACCAGAACATTTTCACTACCGTAGGCTTTTGGTGCTTACATTGCAAATTAACCAAAATAATTGCTTGTTTAAAATCTGTTAGTTCTTTAATTCAAAATGTGTTGTTTAATAAAACAAAGTCTTTGTAAAACATGTTTTAAAAAATCTATTTCGACAGAGGAAAAATTGTTATTATTATTTTCTTAAAATAAAAATAATAAAAATGTATATGTCCGTTTGTTGTTTATTTAAAAGAAATCTTTTTGTATAAAAAACAAAATATCTTGTTTTTTTGGTTGGGGGGGAGTACGCTGATAATGGCACAGTTTCAATCTTGACATTTGTAATTCCAGATAACGCCGTAAAACGTCAGGGATTCGATTTTACACCTTGTTTAAGTTATTAACATAATCCTACTTACTTACAGAATGATTTTTAAAATACCAGTATTTTTGAATTCTAACAAATTTTCGTGATCCGAGGAAGGTTTAATTAATGCTACTCTGTAAAAAAAAAATTATTAATAAACATATTTTTCACAATTTTTTTTTTATGAGTGGAGCAGTATATTTTAGTGCTATTTTGATTTAAAAAAAAAAAATGCTTATCTGAGCGACTTTTGATATTTGTTTTTTCGTTTCTGGAAAAAAATTTTTGGTTCCGAATATGTATTCAGATGTAATAATGTAAACATCCGAAAATGTTTTGTAGTTATGGCGAAATAAGAAATTCCTTGTATATGAGAATCATATTATCAAAGTTTAATAAGGGTATTAATATTATATTATTATCAAAGGATATTAATAAAAAGTAATAATTTTTTTAAAAAAAATTGAGAGAGAAAAAAAAACGGGTAAGGGATTATCCATTTTTCTCAGATAAGAACATGGATGTCTGCGGATTAGTTGAATTTTGCAAATCAGTTTTGAAAGGTTATATAACCGATGGAAAAAAAAATCTGCCTACGCCTTCCTTCTCTTTTGCAAACGTCAGTAGAGTTAATGTTATTCTGTGTCACTCACAGAGTAACAGAATTCCTCGACATTACCAATTTCTGGTCTTGAAAATCACCCGTGCTAATTTTTCAAAGCGAATGTTTAACATACAACAACAATAACTGATTTATGGTAGAACTGATGGATACAAATGCAATTTGCCCAGCCTCCAAAAAAAAAAAAATGGTTGGGGGAAGAATTTTTTCTTTTTTAAAAATAAGAATATAAACGTGACCTATTTTTGGTCAATCTTGGAGGCATTGAGGAAATATTTTTAAAAATTACCCGGTTGAAGATAAACATAACATCCGACAAAAGTTTAAAAAAAAAAAAATGTGGAAATATGCGGTCAACGAGATTTCAAATTCAAATGTAAGAATTGAAAAATCAAAATAACGATAAAATTTGAGTATTCAATATTTAACTTTTTTGTATAAATCCTTATATCTTTCATAATAATAATAATAATAATAATAATGATAATAATAATAATTAACACAAGCGATTGATCCTTAACCATTTAACGTATTTTTCTCCTGTTTTTGTGTTTTTTTTTTAATCACTATTTCCAACATTGTGTTGGGAACAGGTAATTGACTTAAATTACTGCTTTAAAGCTTGTCTGACCCAATCCTATTCCATCACGAAGTCTGTGACTGTTATCAAGGAATTTATTAAGGAAGCATATATAAGTGCACACGCATTGTCAGATTTTAAAGAACTCTTGGATCAACCGTTTCCATTGCAATTTTAAACTCCTATTATAAATTATGCTTGTTACTTTGTCTGTCTGTTAGCATGCACGTTACGCCCCTGCTGTTTGGATTAAAAGGAAAAGAAAGAAAGAAGGAAAGAAAGTAAGAAAATCAGACAAGGAAGCAAGCATGAAAGAAAGTACAAAAAGAAAGAAGGAAAGAAAGAAAGCAAGAATAGTAGACAAGGAAGCAAGAAAGAAAAAAGAAAAAAAAGAAAGAAGGAAAGAAAGCAAGAAAGAAAACAAGAAAAGAAGACAATCAAGTAAGCAACCAAGAAAGAAAGACGGAAGGAGAGAACAAAAAGAACAAAAAAGAAAGGAGGAAAGAAAGAAAGTGAGAAAAGCAGACAAGAAAGAAAGAAAGAAAGAAAGAAAGAAAAAAGAACAAAAAAGAAAGAGGAGGTGATAAAGCTCTCATGTGTTTAACGCCTCAGACCATTCCGTTTTGAATAAAGCGACAGATGGGACAATGTATCAGAGATGCTGTTTAGTTTTAGTGAGTAAAAGAAAGAGAGAAATAAAGAAAGAAAAAGAAAGAAAGAAAGAAAAAGAAAGAAAGAAAGAAAGAAAAAGAAAGAAAAAGAAAAGAAAGAAAAAGAATGCAAAAGAAAGAAAGAAAGAAAGAAAAAGAAAGAAAGAAAGAAAAAGAAAGAAAGAAAGAAAAAGAGAGAGAAATAAAGAAAAAGAGAGAGAAATAAAGAAAAAGAGAGAAATAAAGAAAAAGAGAGAGAAATAAAGAAAGAAAAAGAGAAATAAAAAAGAAAAAGAAAGAAAGAATGAAAGAAAAAGAAAGAAAGAAAAAGAAAGAAAAAGAAAGAGAAAGAAAAAGAAAGAAAGAAAATGAAAGAAAGAAAGAAAGAAAAAGAAAGAAAGAATGAAAGAAAGAAAAAGAAAGAAAAAAGAAAAAGAAAGAAAGAAAAAGAGAGAGAAATAAAGAAAGAAAAAGAAAAAGAGAGAGAAATAAAGAAAGAAAGAAAGAAAAAGAAAGAAAGAAAAACGTAAAATATAACAAAAAATAAAGGAAGAGAAGACAGAAAGCGATAATGCTCTCATACGTTTAACGTCTCAGGTAAAGAATAGGTCATTACGTTTTGATTATAGAAAAAGATGTAGCAAAAAATATATATCAGAGATGGTTCTCGGTTTTAGTGAGAAAAAGGCAGCATGCATATTAAGAAAGAAAGAAAGAAATCAAGAAAAAAAGCAAGAAAGAAAGCAAGAAAGAGAAAACAGAGGCGGCCATAACGCTATTATGTTTCAGTAAAAGAAAAAAACATGTCAATTTTGAATCTTTTTATTTGTACCCTCTTACTTCTATAAATAATGACGTGCATTCATTCTTACGTGTTTTTTTTTTGTTTTTTTTTTTTTATTGCAATACTTTGTAAAAGTTGTTAGGTTAAAATATTTAACGATGCAATAGCCAGATTTGCCACGTAACCATGAAAATCGCAAGAAACTTATTTAATCATTAACTGAAGAATTAAAATTCATGAGAAAATTCAAATATGAAAACCGTGAAATTTTCACGGGTAATTCTAGTATTAATAATTTATACAAAAAAAAAAATGTTTCAAAATTAAAAACAAAAAGGATTCCCCAAACTAATATTGTATTTGGCGAAATGCACACAAATTTATCTTTTATTTTATCTCTCAGTGAAAAGTTGTTTTTTTTTTTTTGTCAAATATTAACTACAATCACCGACATGTTATCAATATTAACTACAATTACTTATAAGTTCGTTACATTGTCTGTCAATGCCAAAGTAGAATTTAATATATTTCCTCGTATTCTTTATCTCAAAAAAGTACTCAGGTGCAAATCTTTGTATTTTAATACACAAAGTAAAAACATTTTCTTTCCTGAATTCACTTTTGGATAATAATAATAATAATAATAATAATAATAATAATAATAATGAAAAATTATTTCGCAGTTCTTACAATGTTTCCCTTATTTATTTATTTATTTTTTTTTTCTTATTTTTTTTTTCTTTTCGCTTTTTACTTACGATTTATTTTCACAACGCTTTGTAATAACTGTGTTATGCCAGCATTAAAAATTAATGTCGTCAATGTAGGTAGGGGGGCGATTTTTGATGTAAGATGTTTTTGTTTTTTTTTTGTCTTTTTTTTTTTTTTTTTTTTTGAAATGGCGTCCTCCTCAAATAAATGACGGTCCTCACTACCATCTGAGAGACTAAACATTTGTCGACTTGTATGTACCGGAGCTCTCCTTCTGGCAACACACAGCGACAACGATGGTAATGAGACCGATAAGGAGGACTCCTCCTGAAACGGATCCCACGATAATGTAGATGGTCCAAATGCTAACGAGTGCTGGGTAGGTTTCTTTAGTCTGGGTGTGAGTCTCGTTGGCATGTTTACCATACTCCCGGGGATCGGTACCGTGTGGGATTTTCCAAGTGCTCACAATCAGTGGTGGCATTGTTTTTCGCATGTAATCCTTTCCTGAAAAAAAAAAAAAAAAAAAAAAAAGAAAATAAATCGTGGTTATTCTTAACAATTATTTTTAAGATTCTTACTGCAGGTTTTAAAAAAAATCCCCGATCTTGATAACGGCCAGAAAAAAGTGCTACATCCCAAATAAATAAGTCCGGCGAGAAGACACATCATTGTCTTACATCCCTTTATTTTTATTTATGTATATCTACAGAACTGATTTTCTATCCGCATGCAGGCGGTTTGCTGCATGCGTAGCTTCTGGATTATTCTAAATATCCCTCCAAATAAATGCCGACATTTCTCAGAAATATTTTCACTCATTTCATTTTTGAGAAACTTCCAATGCGTGGAGCACCGGCTTTTGAAATCGTATTTATTATTGGCATATAATTTTTTTTTAAATGCAATCAATGCAACACTATATATATATATATATATATATATATATATATATATATATAGTAAAATTACCAACAATACATTTTATGATTTACAAACCATAGTATCTAAAAAAAAAAAAAAAGCACAAAATTATGTGGAAAATATCTATAGTTGAAAGATTTAGATTTCGGCATTAAATAACCCATAGAGATGTTGTTATGCCGCCAAACAAAATCAACCAAACATGTTTAAAAATCCAGCAACATTTTCGATTGCTATTAAATTTGCAAAATTCCTCTATAAAAAAATAATTCAAGACAATGTATATCTATTTTAATAAAAGGCAGGATGTTGTGTGTGTGTGTGTGTGTGTGTGTGTGTGTGCGCACGCGTGTGTGTGTGTGTGTGTAACGAAAGCACGGCCGCAATTTTCGACGGATTTGCACCGAAATTTACATGCACATGCTCCAAGTTAGCGGGAAAGCCAAGACCGACTTTGCATTTCCCAACTCCCATCGATAGTGGAAATAATCGATTTTTTCATGTTTCTACGGCAGTTTTCATGTAGTTTGCGGCCATTTTCTACTGGCCAGAGTGAAAGCCTATAGCTAGCTGCCACAAATAGGCAGGAAGATTCTATTGGCCAGCATGAGAGCCAACAGCTGACTGACACGAATGTTAACTAGCATGCTAGAATGCAAAAAAAAATCGATAGCTTCATTCGTCACAAGTGGGAAAAATTTAAATCTGCATGGCACTTTACTCCAATTGGCTCATTCGCTTGCTTAAACTCAACGTTGATTCTGATTCCGCAGAACTGAGTTGGGTGTGAAAAAGTATTTGTTGTTAACATTCTTTTTTCATTCGGTTTTTCCAGTTACGAGTCCTTTTTTTAAAGCTGATCGTTTTGTGTTCATTTTGTTTAGTTTTTTTTTCGTAACAGAATTAGTATTAATTAATGTTTAGTATAGAGCTTAGAAAAAATTATCAGTGTGAGATAGGCAAGAAGTAATCCATGTAGCAACATCAGCACGGCAAAGGGCACTCCTTTAAAGGCAAGGAAGGGCAAAAATATTTTAAGTCAAGTGATAGCGATTGCTGTATGAGTCGTACGATTTTTGAATCAAGCACGGGCAACGCCGGGCCATGCTGCTAGTGTACTAATATGGAAAAAGAATGAAGAATTCCACTAGTGCATAATTTGTGAAATGCACCATTTGAGTCGGACAATCTTGGAAAGTGGCTGTGACACACTGCCTTATGGGGAAAAAGGGTGAATTGGGGGTGGGGGCAGGTTGAAAGCTACTGATGACCAACATAGAAAATAGACCAACATAAAAATGTGTTACTGGTGGTAGGGTTCAACTTCTGCTGCCATACTGTCTAGAACAGGTGTTCTAAACCCCGGGGGGTCATTCCAGCGGAAAGTTTTAGCGTTTCAGGAGGAGAATCTTTTATTTTTTACGCGTCTTTTCTGCGAAATATAGATCTAAAAAAAACACTGAAAGTATGAAATGATGTATAAAAAAATCTGTTATTGAAAACATAAAATTATGTACATAATATTTAGATTTCGACATTAGATAATCCATAGAGGTGTTGATGTGTCACTAAACAAAATCAACCAACCAAACCAATCAAAATATTTAGATTCCGACATTAAATAACCTGTAAAGGTTGGCATGCAGTCAAACTAAATCAACCAATCAACCAAACGACTACGTTTTTCACTCTAGAACAAACCAAACTTTTGTACGCCTTTTTCACTTTTAAGAAAACCAAAACTTTGTCTACTTTTCCCACTCTTGAGGAAACCAAACTTTCATCTACCATTTTCATTCTTGAGCAAAACAAACCTTTGTCTATCTTTTTCACTCTTGAGGAAATCAAACGTTTTGTCTCCCATTTTTTCATTCTTGAACAATCCAAACCTTTGTCTACCTTTTTCATTCTTGAGGAAACCAAACTTTTGTCTACCTTTTATTCAATCTTGAGCAATCCAAACCTTTGCCTACCTTTGCCTACCTTTTATTCATTCTTGAGAAAACCAAACCTTTGTCTACCTTCTTTTCGTTCTTGAGCAAACCGAACCTTTGCCTACCTTTTATTCCTTCTTGAGTAAATCAAACCTTTGCCTAACTTTTATTCATTCTTGAGAAAACCAAACCTTTGTCTACCTTCTTTTCGTTCTTGAGCAAACCAAACCTTTGCCTACCTTTTTCATTCTTGAGTAAATCAAACCTTTGCCTAACTTTTATTCGTTCTTGAGCAAACCAAACCTTTGCCTACCTTTTATTCCTTCTTGAGTAAATCAAACCTTTGCCTACCTTTTATTCCTTCTTGAGTAAATCAAACCTTTGCCTAACTTTTATTCATTCTTGAGAAAACCAAACCTTTGTCTACATTTTTCATTCTTGAGTAAATCAAACCTTTGCCTAACTTTTATCCGTTCTTGAGCAAACCAAACCTTTGTCTACCTTTTATTCGTTCTTGAGCAAACCAAACCTTTGTCTACCTTTTTCATTCTTGAGTAAATCAAACCTTTGCCTAAATTCTTCACTCTTGAGGAAACCAAACCTATGTCTGCTTATTTATTTTTTATCAAAATGACCGAACTCCATATGAAATAACCTGGAAATTATTGATATGCTAAATCAACGCAACACAGAGCAACCCGATATTAAAACAGCATTGTACTTACGATCAATAACTTTCAGCCAAGCGTTCTCATATCGCATATCATGAGAATTACCGGCGAGGCAAGTGTATTTTCCAGCATCGTTGTATGTCACATTACGGATATGAAGAACTTCCGGGTTGGACCCAGTTGGCAAGAACTGAAATGTATGAACAAAAAGAAAAGAAAAAGAAAGAAGAGAATTAGTAAAAATAAAACGCTGAGTTAGTTTTTTTTTTTTAATAATTTATCCCGTCTCGGTAATATTATGTTTCAATTTGTTACCAGTAATGTTGGGGATGTGCAGAATTAATTAATTGTAATTGAGTGAATCAGAAGGAATTTGTGTAGGTTGCGTGACTTTCTGCATCCACAAACAAATAAATAAACGAATTTTAAATACAATCAAAAACAAGACATTCAATTTAGAAACCAATAAAACATTTACATACAATTAAAAGTAATATATATACAAGATATTTTGGTATATGTTACTATGGCAAAGTGTGTGTGATATTTGAGGTTTCGGTATGTCTCTTTTTGTATTTGTATGTTTAGTTACAGTCTTTCTGGAATTGTGTTAATTAATATTAAAAATGTCGATGTTAAGTGTTTTTAGGAATGAGTTCTTGCAGAGTGGTCTACCTTTGACTGTAATATTTCTGAATCGTTCGAATGTTGATTTTTATTTAATAGTGTAGTGAATATAGTTCACTTTGGATAAGCAAAGTTGTTTTATGTTTGCGATCGGATGTCCACAGAGTTGGTCGAGTTTAAATTGCAAGTGAGTCAGCGTTGATGTACGCGGTAAAGTCGTGATTTCGAGTGACGTGGAGTATGTTGGCAATTTCTCTGTGGATGTTCGTCTTTGACCCTTTTGGTCAGTCGGTGTTTTCGTTTATATGTTTTTCAAAGTCCAAAATCGGCTCAAAGAAGTTTTGGCGCAATTTCGTTTTGCACGTGAAACTTTCAGATTATTGTGTTGTTAACCAATGAGATTTGTTGATTCGTCTAGTACGGTTTTTTATTGGTCGAAGTTTTCCGTACGTAGGCGTAAGGTATAGACTGTTCTGTTACTAGGGGTGATAGGTAGAAAAGGACGAGTCTACAGTAAGATATTTTCTTTAGCTCGAAGATTTTCCGTCAAGCTGAATGAAGGATATAGTCGCTATCACGGTACATTCCAGTAGAACTCGGATTTTTCTGAAGAATCTTTGGGTAATTTGCAGTATAAGCACCAAAAGCTCCCGGTATTGAGAATGTACCATTCCGGTGTGAAATTATTTCGCTCACTGGGGTAGACTCAAGGACACATAACACAGTGGATAAAGGCGTTAGTTCGATCCAGTGACAGGACCCAAAGAGTGTGAGTTCAATACCCGGTTAAGGCAGTGGAGAAATTTCAGAGGGGAATTAACAGGAGATAACTGATAACTGACATCCATTAAACATGGCACGTGGAACTAGAACAGTCTACACCAGTGAGCGAAATAAAGGGTTAAGTTCGACATTCCAACCACCTGAAGAAGACCGGAGCGTACAATATCCGAAACGTTGTAATAAATATGGCAACAAATATGAGGACAATAGTCCGAATAATGTAAATAATGTACATAATACCTCACCTCAGAAATATAGACAGATACTGATGAGGAAAAACGTTGTAATAAATATGACGACAAAGATGAGTACAATAGTCCGAATAATTTAAATAGCGTACATAATACCTCATCTCAGAAATATAGACAGATACTGAAGGGCCGAAACGTTGTAATAAATATGGCGACAAAGATGAGGACAATAATCCGAATAATGTAAGTAATGTACATAATACCTCATCTCAGAAATATAGACTGATACTGAAGGGGCGAAACGTTGTAATAAATATGGCGACAAATATGAGGACAATAATCCGAATAATGTAAATAATGTACATAATGCCTCATCTCAGAAATATAGACAGATACTGAAGGGCCGAAACGTTGTAATAAATATGGCGACAAAGATGAGGACAATTGTCCGAATAATGTAAATAGTGTACATAATACCTCATCTCAGAAATATAGACAGATACTGAAGGGCCGAAACGTTGTAATAAATATGGCGACAAAGATGAGGACAATAGTCCGAATAATGTAAATAGTGTACATAATACCTCATCTCAGAAATATAGACAGATACTGAAGGGCCGAAACGTTCTAATAAATATGGCAACAAAGATGAGGACAGTAGTCCGAATAATGTAATTAGTGTACATAATACCTCATCTCAGAAATATAGACAGATACTGAAGGGCCGAAACGTTCTAATAAATATGGCAACAAAGATGAGGACAGTAGTCCGAATAATGTAATTAGTGTACATAATACCTCATCTCAGAAATATAGACAGTTACTGAAAGGGCGAAACGTTGTAATAAATATGGCGACAAAGATGAGGACAATAGTCCGAATAATGTAAATAGTGTACATAATACCTCATCTCAGAAATATAGACAGATACTGAAGGGCCGAAACGTTCTAATAAATATGGCGACAAAAATGAGGACAATCGTCCGAATGATGTAAATAGTGTACATAATACCTCATCTCAGAAATATAGACAGATACTGAAGGGCCGAAACGTTCTAATAAATATGGCAACAAAGATGAGGACAGTAGTCCGAATAATGTAATTAGTGTACATAATACCTCATCTCAGAAATATAGACAGATACTGAAGGGCCGAAACGTTCTAATAAATATGGCGACAAAGATGAGGACAATAGTCCGAATAATGTAAATAGTGTACATAATACCTCATCTCAGAAATATAGACAGATACTGAAGGGCCGAAACGTTCTAATAAATATGGCAACAAAGATGAGGACAGTAGTCCGAATAATGTAAATAGTGTACATAATACCTCACCTCAGAAATATAGACTGATACTGAAGGGGCGAAACGTTGTAATAAATATGGCGACAAATATGAGGACAATAATCCGAATAATGTAAATAATGTACATAATGCCTCATCTCAGAAATATAGACAGATACTGAAGGGCCGAAACGTTCTAATAAATATGGCGACAAAAATGAGGACAATCATCCGAATAATGTAAATAGTGTACATAATACCCCATCTCAGAAATATAGACAGATACTGAAGGGCCGAAACGTTGTAATAAATATGGCGACAAAGATGAGGACAATCGTCCGAATAATGTAAATAGTGTACATAATACCTCATCTCAGAAATATAGACAGATACTGAAGGGCCGAAACGTTCTAATAAATATGGCGACAAAGATGAGGACAATAGTCCGAATAATGTAAATAGTGTACATAATACCTCATCTCAGAAATATAGACAGATACTGAAGGGCCGAAACGTTCTAATAAAAATGGCGACAAAGATGAGGACAATAGTCCGAATAATGTAAATAGTGTACATAATACCTCATCTCAGAAATATAGACAGATACTGAAGGGCCGAAACGTTCTAATAAAAAATGGCGACAAAGATGAGGACAATAGTCCGAATAATGTAAATAGTGTACATAATACCTCATCTCAGAAATATAGACAGATACTGAAGGGCCGAAACGTTCTAATAAAAATGGCGACAAAGATGAGGACAATAGTCCGAATAATGTAAATAGTGTACATAATACCTCATCTCAGAAATATAGACAGTTACTGAAAGGGCGAAACGTTCTAATAAATATGGCGACAAAAATGAGGACAATCATCCGAATAATGTAAATAATGTACATAAATTTTTAAATGTAAAAAATCTACAAAGAAATCAATGCTAGCATCGATTTATTGGCTTAAGATTTATTATGAAATCGAATGTAAGGAAAATTACTGAAGGTTTTTTTAGAGTCTACAATTCCTTATGGCAGAGTGCATTAGAGGTGTCTGTCATAGTGTCAAAAATATTATACACTTTAACTGGAACTTTCTTAGTCCTTGGCTTCAGGCTGCTGAGTCGATAGGTAAATCTGGCAATAGGCATGTTGATTAAACTATACAGACATTTTAAAATTTATTCACAGTAAACAGATTCGCCATTTTAAGTGGAATTTTATAGATGCGGGGTCTACGATTTATATTTCATGGACTGAAAGTCGAGTCGAAGACAACTTACCACTGCATCTTGTGGTGTTCCTCTCATCGAATTGGAATCATGCGGCATTTTCTTGTACAACCATCTGATCTTGGCTGTGTCATCATTAGGAACTCGACAGATAAATGTAGCCGATTCTCCAACGCTTTTTGTTACATTTTGCGGTGGAATAACTTTTAGCATTTTCACCTCTAGAAAAAAGAAAGAAAGAAAAAAAAAGATATTTTGATAAAAAAAAAACAAAAAAATGAAAATATATTTTAATTTGAAATAAAAACAAGACAATATATCGATAATAAAAACATTTCCAGTCGCTGTCTACATAGAATAACCTCATTCAGGAGTAAGAGGCTATTTGGCTTTGAGAAAAACAGTAAAGAAAAACGGACAAAATCAAGAAAAATATGTTTAAAGTAATAGCAACAACTAGTGTGGTGTGACTGTGGCCGATATTTCACGGGGGTTTGCAGTTAACATACATGGTAACGGTAGTATTAGCCATTTATGGAAATCTTCGGCATTCAGTTCAGTTATGTGCCATACGTGCTACACACTATCTTTAGATACAGATTTTATCCCGCAGTAGGTTGCCATTTCTTTCTGCGGTAGAGCAGTTGCCATTCAAAGCTATAAAACCCGTTCTGCCCCGCTATTTACCCATAATATTACCTGGGGGGGGGGGGAGAAGAAGAGGATCTATATCTTTCCCAAGGGTATTAGCACGTAATCCACGTGATGGATTCGACTGGAATTCGAACTCGGCTCTCTGATTCCTCAATCCGACCCGCTATCCATTACTCCACCGAAATGAAGTTTTTTTTCTTCAGTCCCTGGCCATCGGGCTGGGATCAAAATGTAGTATCTGTTCTCCTCGTGTCTAAAGAAAAATGGTAATATAAACCCTTTCTTGATATGGAAATATTCGGCTTCTGTTGACTGTGCAACCGTTTTCCGCTACTCCCTGGCTGGGATCAAAGTGTAGTATCTGCCCTCGGGCGAAATAACTACATTCTATCTCTCAACTGTGTCTCTGTCTTCGGACAGAGCGCAACTGAAAATATTTTTGAGAGGTGCCTGGTCCAGCTGCCTGCAACAGTACCTCCCTCAAAGAGCAGGGATCGATAGGAATACAGATTACAGTGCAACCGTCAGTTATGGAGGCTAGGATTTTTGGGGTCCTGGCCCAGGTGCTCGCGCTCGGGCTCCCCATTAAACTGACCTTGTGCCACACCCGGAGCCAGCGTCAAAGTGCAAGTAAATACTATCTGCATTCAGGCGGACAAACTGCATTTTTATCTCTCTCTCCGGGCAGAAGAGGACAATTCAATGACTGATTCCTCGCGAAGGGTATTTATTCGACCTGACAAGGTTTTTTTGTCCGGCCCGTGAATGATTTTTGTCCGGCTCGCGAAGGGTTTTTGTGCCCGAGCTGCGAAGGTTTTTTTGTCCGGCTCGCAAATGATATTTGTCCGGACCGCGAATGATTTTTGTCCGGCTCGCGAAGGGTATTTATCCGACCTGAGAAGGTTTTTTTTGGTCCAGCTCGCAAATGATTTTTGTCTAGCCCGCGAATGATTTTTGTCCGGCTCGCGAAGGGTTTTTGTGTCCGAGCTGCGAAGGTTTTTTTGTCCGGCTCGCAAATGATATTTGTCCGGACCGCGAATGATTTTTGTCCGGCTCGCGAAGGATATTTATCCGACCTGAGAAGGTTTTTTTTGGTCCAGCTCGCAAATGATTTTTTGTCTAGCCCGCGAATGATTTTTGTCCGGCTCGCGAAGGGTTTTTGTGTCCGAGCTGCGAAGGTTTTTGTCCGGCTCGCAAATGATATTTGTCCGGACCGCGAATGATTTTTGTCCGGCTCGCGAAGGGTTTTTGTGTCCTAGCTGGGAAGGTTTTTTGGTCCGGCTCGCAAATGATTTTTGTCCGGACCGTGAATGATTTTTGTCCGGCCCGCGAAGGGTATTTATCCGACCTGAGAAGGTTTTTTTGTCCGGCCCGTGTGTTGAACGGTTATATAATATCAGTCTTCTTATATGGCAGATATCTCCTCTCAGATGAAGAAGAGACTTGAGGCAACAGAAACAAAGAAAAGGCTTCTGAACGGTTATATAATATCAGTCCTCCTATATGGCAGTGAATGCTAGACAATCTCCTCACAGATGAAGAAGAGACTTGAGGCAACAGAAACAAAGAAAAGGGTGCTGAACGGTTATATAATATCAGTCCTCCTATATGGCAGTGTATACTGGACAATCTCCCGACAGATGAAGAAGAGACTTGAGGCAAGAGAAAACAAAGAAAAGAGTGCTGAATGGTTATATAATATCAGTCCTCCTATATGGCAGTGAATGCTGGACAATCTCCTCACAGATAAAGAAGAGACTTGAAGCAACAGAAATAAAGAAAAGGGTGCTGAACGGTTATATAATATCAGTCCTCCTATATGGCAGTGAATGCTGGACAATCTCCTCACAGATGAAAAGAGAGTTGAGGCAATAGAAATATGTTCTACAGAAGGATGCTGAGGATACCATGGACAGAGCATGTTAAGCAACGAAGACTTTTAAAGAAAAATGGAGGGCCGGAGAGTGAGACTGCCATTTAAGGTAGTGTGTGCAGATTGTCAGTGTGGCCGAGCTATAATTAAATATCAAGTCATTTTCTTCTAGTAAAATATTAGTTACTTACTGGTAATCTCCACCGTATACGTGAAATTCAAATTTCCCAAACTATTGCCAACTAAACAGGTGTAGTTTCCGGCATCTTTTGATCTGATGGTCGTAAAAACAAGGTTAAACCTTTGCTGCTTGATCTGAAAGAATAAAAAAAAAATATTTTAATCCATTAATGTCATCATAAATTAATGTAAGAATTTTAAAAAATAAAATTAAAAATTAATTTCTGGTTTCTAAAAAGAAAGAAGAAAATTTGGTAGTAATCGGAGTAGGAGGTGCTGACGGTATAATCGGAATAGGAGGGACTGACGGTATAAATCGGAGTAGGAGGGACTGACGGTATAAATCGGAGTAGAAGGGACTGATGGTATAAATCAGAGTAAGGAGGTACTGAGGGTATAAATCGGAGAAGGAAGGACTGACGGTATAATCAGTGTAGCAAGTACTGACGGTATAATCGGAGTAGGAGGGGCTGATGGTATAAATCGGAGTAGGAGGGGTTGATGTTATAAATCGGAGTAGGAGGTACTGACGGTATAAATCAGAGTAGGAGGGACTGGCGGTATAATCGGAGTAGGAGGGACTGACGGTATAATCGGATAGGAGGTACTGACGGTATAAATCGGATAGGAGGGGGCTGATGGTATAAATCAGAGTAGGAGGTTCTGACGGTATAAATCAGAGTAGGAGGGACTGACGGTATAATCGGAGGGGAGGGACTGACGGTATAATCGGAGTAGGAGGGACTGACGGTATAAATCGGAGTAGGAGGGGCTGATGGTATAAATCAGAGTAGGAGGTTCTGACGGCATAAATCAGAGTAGGGAGGGACTGACGGTATAATCGGGAGTAGGAGAGACTGACGGTATAATCGGAGTAGGGAGGTACTGACGGTATAAATCGGAGTAGGAGGGGCTGATGGTATAAATCAGAGTAGGAGGTTCTGACGGTATAAATCAGAGTAGGAGGGACTGACGGTATAATCGGATAGGAGGGACTGACGGTATAATCGGAGTAGGAGGTACTGACGGTATAAATCGGAGTAGGAGGGGCTGATGGTATAAATCAGAGTAGGAGGTTCTGACGGTATAAATCAGAGTAGGAGGGACTGACGGTATAATCGGAGTAGGAGGGACTGACGGTATAATCGGAGTAGGAGGTACTGACGGTATAAATCGGAGTAGGAGGGGCTGATGGTATAAATCAGAGTAGGAGGTTCTGACGGTATAAATCAGAGTAGGAGGTTCTGACGGTATAAATCAGAGTAGGAGGGACTGACGGTATAATCGGAGTAGGAGGGACTGACGGTATAATCTGTATTATGAACCGCCCCCACCAATTTTAAATCGACAAAATGTCAATATTTTTTCGATCATGACATGTGTCGCAGCCTAAGTCTCAACGATTTAAATATAAAGAAAAAAGTTGCTCTCTCCATGATCTTCGTTTTCCTAGGCTGTTGCTAACCAAACCGAGAGAAGTCAATTTGACCTGCGATTTAAGCAACAATTGCGAGAAGACATTTTTTTCTTTATTGAGTCGTTTTCTACGGTTTATCTACCCATTGCAAGCCATAAAATATTTTTAAATTTAAATAATTTAACAATGTTTTTGATAATGATTTATTGATAAAAATATTACTTATTAACCCATAGCTGGATGAGAAGAGGCGGAATCATACCTTTCCCAAGGGCTTTTGCGTGTAACTGAATATAACGAACCCAAATAGAAAATAAAACTCGGCTCTCCGATCAATAATTCCGAGCCATTATCCAATACGCTACCAGCACATCCAAGCTTACAGCACGTGGTACCCCTAACGGTCACCCATTAAAGTACTGACCAGGCTAGACGTTGCTTAAATTCACTGATCCAGGCTGGCCGGATGTAACAGAAGGTCAGTTTAATGTGGGTAGCCAGTGACAGATCCCCAAAATAGCCCAGCTCACGCAACATTCGTTTGCATTGCAATCGGTATTACTACCGATCCGCACTCTTTAGTGCAATGACGGGGATACAGCTGCTGGCAGCTGTTACTCGGGACTAGGAAGGTCAATGGAGAGAAAAAAAAATCAGTTTGTCCGCCCGAAGTCAGATCCGTGACAACGTCTTGTTGCCGCAAGCCAGAAGAGCCATTTTTCGTTTAGTGCGAAGTGAATAGAAAGCTGACCTTTAAATTTGAGATACTTTTTACGTCTCGTCCATCTCTTGTCCAACTGATAGTTGGTTTGGGATGACCATTTGCCGGACATTCCAGTGTTAGCGATCTTCCTTCGAGGGCATTTATTGAAGATTCACCTTTTCGAGGCTTCGAGTTTCGTTTCCATACCGGAGCTTTTGGTGCTGGATAAAAATGAAAAGAAAAAAAAAAATAATAATATTAAGATGAAATGCAAATAAATGACACGGAATTTTTGGAACGAGTAAAAATTAAGGATATTAGTTTGATTTGATAGCGTGAGAAGCCGGACGAAACTGGGGCCCATCATTTGCAAATGTTTGGACCTAACATTCTTAAAATAGATATTTTTACGAATATTGATGATGTGAAAAAAGTGCATTGGACGGGCATTAGTCTGTTTACGCCAAACATAAATAAATAAACATTTCTGATGAAGCTGAATAAACGGCGAAACATGTCAGAATTATAAATATTTTTCTACTTTTTCTTTATTTAATCATTTTGCGGGATTTAGTCTGTATCTTCAATGCGAACACACAAACACACACACACAGATAGATAGATAGATAGATAGATAGATAGATAGATAGATAGATAGATACGAATAGAATAGAATGGGATAGATACGAACAGACTGGCTAGATTGATACAAACAGACTGGTATACATAGATATATAGATAAATGTGTGGGTTGAGGGATTGAATAAGGAAGAAGTATTTTTTTTCTAACTATTGTAATGAGATAAAGTTAGCATTATCCTTTCAAAGCTGTTGAAAAGGCCTAATATCTTTAGGTTTGAACAACTTGGGCATAGATGATTCATTTGAGAATCTATCAGCATACTAGGATATTCTCTTTATAAAATGAACATTTTAAACGATTCTAAAATGTTCATTGTATATTTTTTTTTATATAAAAAGCAGTTTGTTTTGCATATCTTTTCATTTATATATTTTGTCTTGTCCACTACAGACCAAAGATTTGGGGTGGAGTCATTCTCTGGATTTAATAATTAATGAGTTTTATATCTTCTTTGCTTTGAAGAAGCTAAGATACTGAAGTTATTTGAACCATTTCTTCATTTACTCCAGTTTCTTTTAGAGGAGTCGACTAAAATGTAAAATCTAAAACACTAAGATTACCATTAGGTAGAAAGGTAGCTCTTGTTACGTTCTGTGTCGACTGTATAATATTACTATTGTATTAACGAAAAGGACGATTTCTTTTTATTATTCGTTTTATTAAGGCAGCTTGGATTCTAAGAGGTAGTAGTAGGAAGAATGGCATCACAAGAACACATGTAGCACGTTGACTCAGTGTCCCTCCGCAGGTGGTATTAGCCGGTCACAAATTTGGGTGTGGGAAGCATATCGACGCTTCAGAATTCTTGAGACCCTCTGTTGAATTCGCGCTGTTTTGGACTTATATGCAAAACCCAGACAAAGGCAATCGATCACTGTCAGAATATCAGGCGCACGAGGCACTTCGGCAAATCGCTGACCATTCTGGCCCTGGCCTTCACATTCTGTAACACTTAGGGAAAATTCGTTGTTATTGCGGAATCTTATGCTAAAAATATTCCGCAAGAGAAAGTATCTCTTGCCTGAAATTAACTAGTAAATTAGTTTTCAAAAAGGCATGTTTTGGTGATTCTCTGAAATTTAGAGGGGGTCATCGAACGTTTGGCTTAAAACAAATAATAATAAAAAAGTTCTTTGCTATATTTCTCATATTGTAATTATTTACACTATTTAGGTTGTTCTGACCGCATCTTTCTTGCCATATTCACAATGTTTCGGTCGTTGTACACTCCGGCCTTCTTCAGGTGATTAGATTTTCGAACTGAGCCCTTTATTTCATCCACCGGGGGGGGGGTAGATTGTTCTACTTCCACGTGTCATGTCTCTTCCGGATGTCTCAGTTTACAGTTAATTACATCTAGTAATTCAAGATTTTTTTGTTTAAATTTGGTTAATTACTGTGTCTTTGTATCAGATTTGCTTACTCTGAGTAAAAATATTTCTGTCTCTTCTATGTTTCATCTTTCAGGACGCGGTCGTTCATAGCTCCCCACATCTTGCTATGCTTTGTAACTCTTAAAAATATTTCTACTAATTTTGGCCAGGTATTGAACTCACAACTCTTTGGGTCAAGTCATTTTTGGATTACTTCAGCCATCGCTTTTATCCACCAGGCTATGTGTCCCCAAGGACACAGCAGAGGTGACCAAAAAAACATAAAGAGTTGAGTCACTACCCCCTCACCCCCCCAAAAAAAAATTAAAAAATAAATAACTGTGGGTTACTCAAAAGGAAATAATTGAAACTGAGATATCATATTCACAACGTTTCAGCCGTTGTACGCTCCGGTCTTCTTCAGGTTTTTGTTCCTTGTGCTTTGGGTCAAGTCACGCTTTGGACTACTCAATCAATGCTTTTTATCCCCTGGGCCTTGTGTTCTTGGGGGGGGGATTGAGTTACTAAAGGAAATTCACTGAAACTGAGATATCCAGAAGAGGCATGGCACGTGGAACTAGGACAATCGACTAAATAAAGGGTTCGGTTCGAAATTCCATCGTATATCTTCTGAAGTAGGCGTAGAACGGTCGAAACGCCGTGAATGTAGCAATAAGTATGACGACAACAGTCCAAACAATGTAAATAATCTGAAAAAAAAAAAGAACGTTCTTATTTACCTTTAGAGCTTTTCCTCCTGGATCGTCGGTTTCTGTCACAAGAGGCAAGGGAAGAACAAAGTAGACAGATGAGAAGGGCTAAGCCTATTCTTTTCGATATTGACATCTTCATTTTTACAATATATGTTGTTGATTTTTTTGCTTTTTAATGACTGGATGAAGGCTTCAAATGAAAGTGGACAATTACTGAAGGTTACTCCATACTGAAAAAGAAAAGATACAAAGAATCAGCCATGTTATGAGTTATTTAAATTCAAGTGGAATAAATGGCGATTATATGACAGGAATAGTTTACTTATGTCCTAAGGGTCCCTTTTGGGTTATGTGACAGCCCGTTGGTGAGAATAGACAGTTTCCCCTTTGAAACTCTAATTTATGTTGAAAATAAAAATGTCATAAACAACAGAACAGGCTATATATGGAAAACATGTTTTGTTTTTTTCTACAAAGGCGTATATTGTTGCTTAATCAAATATAAAATAAAAGTAAGAAAATAATAATAATAATAATAATAATAATAATAATAACAACAACAACACTGGAAATCTAAAAAAATATGTGGTATCAGTAATTCTGGTTGTGACTGAGGCCCTGGGTTTGATCAGAAAAGGTCCTGATAGACTCATTGAAGGAATCCCTGCTAGGTCATGCCTTAAAGAAATACAAAAGATTGTTCACATAAGTACAGCTTACACCTTACGAAGGGCTTTATCAATGTAAAATGTGTGCGTCAGGATATTACATTTTTTTTCCACAAATATTCATTTCTGACCTTAAGTCTCTAGATGAGACCCGGAAGAAAATGAGTTATAAACAGAAATCAAAGGATATAATAATAATAATAATAATAATAATAATAATAATAATAAGAAGAAGAAGAAGAAGAAGAAGAAGAAGAATGAAAGAAACGGGTATGAACACCACCCAGATCCGGTTACGGAGATAGGACCTGTTACAATTCTATGGGACTACACAATACACACTGACAGAACAATCAAGGCCAACCGCCCAGATATTGTTATTAAAGACCACAAACAAAAAAAAGTGCCTCCTTATTGATATGGCAGTCCCTGCCGACTGCAATGTATCTTTGAAGATATTCAAAAAGCTGTCAAAGTACAAGGACCTTGAAATAGAAATCTGGAAAATGTGGCATATGGGAACATCAACAATCCCTGTTGTAGTTGGAGCCCTAGGACTTGTTGGAAAAGATTGCAGTAGATTAATTGAAGGGATTCCTGGAAGCCCATGCCTCAAGGAGATACAAAAAATTGTTCTGACAAGTATAGCCCACACTTTACGAAAGTCTTTATCTATGTATTTTTTTTTTTTTTTTTTGTCAGTGGAAAGTGTCATGATGCCATTTCTGACCTTAGGTCCCTGGGCGGGACCCGGAAAGAAATGGGTAAACGCCAGAAATCAAAGGAAATAATAATAATAATAATAATAATAATAATAATAATAATAAACACAGCGCAAACGAAAAAGGAAAATGCCAGAGTCTGGAAAGAATAAAATAGAAACCGAAATAAATAAACTGCGAGGACAATTGTAGACAAGGGATCCAAAATGAAAGAAAGAAAAAGGGAGATAACTGAAACGAAGCCCTGGCATAAAGAGTATGACTGACGTGCCAAAAGTTAAAGAGAGGCTGAAACAAAAAAAGTTCAAGCGAAGCCACAAAAAGCAGGCATTTTTTTTTAAAAAAGAAAGAAACAGATTTTTTCTGTCAAAACAAGATCTTCAAAGAAGACGCCAAGAAACTATATCGAGAACTAGGAAAAATAAAATAGAAATAAATAAACCACCTAATATCCAGGAAGTTCTGGTGTAAGATGTAGGAAAACTATAAAATGCACAATGAAAGAATTACATGGATCAAGCAACAACAAGAACAATGCGCAGTGCCAAAAATGAACCGATATCAATATAACTGAAAGAACCGCTGCTATCCGCAAAACCAAAAACTGAAAAGCACCAGAAATAGATTGAATGGCCAATATTTAGCCTATTTAGCACCCACCAAGATCTCGCATGGCCATACCATGATATAATCATAACCCCCCCCACCCCAATACTCCAGATGGCTTACATGTGGAAGAACATACTTACTACCAAAAACAAAAGAGAAGCAGAACCCGAACAACTATAGACCCATTACCTGCCTACCAACAAAGTACAAGATCCTTACTTCTATCATAACCGAGAGGACATACAACTTCCACGAGACAAACAATTTATTCCCAGCAGAACAGAAGTGACGTAAAAATGGAAGTTACGGGTGCAAGGACCAACTAATTATCAATAAAACAATGTTAGATGTGGTGAAAACAAAGAAAAGAAATTTATCGATGACATGCATCGACTATAGAAAACCGTTCGAAAGTGCACCACACTCATGGATAAGGAAGAGTTTAAAAATATACAGAGTATGCCCCACGACGGTCAAATTCCTAACGGAGGGCATGAATAACTGGAAGACTACACTAAACCTGAACCATACAAACGGGTCATTAACATCGAGACTAGTAAACATCAAAAGCGGAATCTTGCAAGGAGATTTCTTGTCACCATTACTCATTTGTCTTGCATGAGCGCCGGTCAGCTGTTTACTGAACAACAGTAGCTATGGATACAAGTCACAGAATGGCAAACTGAATCACCTATTTTACGTTGGTGGTCTTAAAACGTTTACCAATGATGACGAACAGTAGAAAAACCTACTCACCATTGTCAAAACCTTCAGAGAAGACACTAGGATGTGAGTTCGAAATCGACAAATGTGCCAAAGCCACTTTCAAAGGCGGTAAACTACCGAATTAAACGTTGATATCAACAACAAGATTAAAGAACTATTCCAAGATGGTACATACAAATGCTTAGGAATTATGAAGAAAAAGTTCTGAAAAGAATATTATAGGAGAGTTTGATATTAGAAAGCGAGCTTAATCGGTCCAATAAAATGAAGTTGATCAACACTTTAGCTATACCCTTAGTAACATACAGCTTCAACATTATTAAATGGAAGTTGAATGGCATTACATGATTGGACACAAAGACCAGGAAAATACTTACCCGAAATCAGACATTGGTAGGGTATAGGTACCAAGAGCTTTAGAAGGCCGAGGTTTAATCCAACTTGAACTAACTCTAAAAGCCACAATAATCGGACTGGAAGCAAACGTCACAAAAAAAACCAATGACCTTCTTCTACAAATTGTAAAACACCAAATCCTCAACATCAACAAAGAAGCTGCACTCTTCAAGAAACAGATTAATAGACTTGAAATCCTACCAACAAAAAAAAAAAAGTTAATGCCATCTACTCCAAACGACTAAAACAGAAAACAAAACAACTTGACCAAATTATCAAAAAAAAAAAAAAACCCAAAAAAACACGACCTTGAAAATTATCGAGAAATTTTCCAAATACATGGACATGGCGATCGAAATTAGCAAGATGTGGGGAACGAAGACTGATATTGTACCAGTAGTAATCGGAACTCTGGGCCTCGTTAGAAAAAGGAACTGATAATTTTACTAACATTGTCCCAGGTAACATACACATATACGTTGCCTTGAAGATCGCCCTACTAGGAATATCCCATATATATAGAAAAGTGCTTACAATTAAATGACTATTCTCCTATAGGGCCTAAAGCCCATAGTGAGGACCCGGCTCTAGAAGATACAAAGCAGGAAGCATAACATACACAAATGATAATAATAAAAATATTCAATGATGAAAGAAGTTTGTAAATACAAACGAGATTTACATTTAGTAGATTATATAATAATAATAAAAATCAATTATGAAGAAAAAGAGCCGAAAAGAATATTATAGGAGAGTGCGTTAGATACTAGAAAGTGAACTTAATGGGGCCAATAAAATGAAGCTGGTCAACACTTTAGCTATACCTGTCGTAACATTACAGCTTCAAGATTATTAAATGGAAGTGGAATGATATTAAAAGATTGGACTCCAAGGCCAGAAAAATGCTTACCCAAATGAGGATGCACCACCCGAAATCAGATGTTGATAGGCTGTACGTACCAAGAGCTTTAGGAGGCCGAGGTCTAATGAAAATTGAACTCTAAAAGCTACAATAATCGGATTGGAAACAAACGTCACAAAAAACCAATGACCCTCTCCTACAAATCGTAAGACACCAAATCCACTCCATCAACAAACTTGTTGTACTCTTCAAGAAAACAGATTAATTGAAACCTTACCAACAAAAAAAAAAACGAAGTGAATGACATTTACACCAAACGAGTAAAACAGAAAACAAAACAACTTGACCAAATGAAATTGCAAAAAAAAAAAACACGACCTTGAAAATTATCGAGAAATTTATATGGTCACGGTGTTTACTTAATTCAATTTTGGGATCGCCTATGTTTGCTCACTGGGGATCTAAGTTCAAACTCAAGTGTCGGCAGCGATAGTTTATTCCTCTATAACAAATATATATCACTCGGAACTAGACCGAGGACTACTACTACTACTACAACTAATAATAATAATAATAATAATAATAATAATAATGATAATAATATTCAATTATGAAGAAAAATATCTGAAAAGAATAATATAGGAGAGTACGTTTGATAAAGCGAACATAATGGGGCCAATAAAATGAAGCTGGTCAACACCATAGCTGTCGTAACATTACAGCTTCAACATTATTAAATGGAAGTTGAATGACATTAAAAGATTGGACTCCAAGACCAGAAAAATGCTTACCCAAATGAGGATGCACCACAGGAAATCAGATGTTGTTAGGCTGTACGTACCAAGAGCTTTAGGAGGCCGAGGTCTCATCCAAGTTGAACTCTAAAAGCTACAACAATGGGATTGGAAGCATACTCACCAAGACCAATGACCTTCTTCTACAAATCGTAAAACACCAAATCGACTCCAGCATCAAAGAAGCTGTACTCTTCAAGAAACAGATTAATAGATCTGGAATCCTACTAACAAAAAACGAAGCGAATATCATCTACGCCAAACGAGGAAAACAGAAAATAAAACAACTTGGCCAAATGAAATTACGAAAAAAGACTGGGAGGTCCAAGGCGTTGCATGTCAAATACCAAAGAAGGAAAGAAGCAGATGTGGACCAACAGGAAACACATCCGTGGCTGAGGAGCACCCTGTTGACAACTGAGATAGAAGGCCTAAATTATTGCACCTCGCAAC